CAATATACGTAGTCGGTGCACTGGGATAAAGTGCTCTCCGGGCCCGTCAGTTCTCTAGCCACGGGTTCTCAGGCACAGATCACCGTTGGGCGGCTCCCTGAAGATTTAGGGATCCAGAAGGGCCCGGGAAAGCAGGGGTACCTCTCCAATTCCCGGGCCAGGAACATTTTTCCGTGACGCACCATGTACATCATGCTTCAAGAATGAAACAGAGGATGCCAATGTGCATATGTTCTGGTGACTGAGGTTTAGGAGGAACTACATTCCGACATGACCAAATATGAAAAACGAGTAATCTTCTACTGGAGGAAATCCGGCTATGCTTCACTACTTCATAGCCGTCAGTAGCAAAGATAAACTGAGCCAGTCTCCTGCTGCTGATTGTGTGGGGGGCCCTTCCAGATGAAATGTGTGAGGTTTAGTGTTGAGGAATAAAATTCATGGCTAAGCCTCAGCAAGAGCCAATCTGGTATAACATGCCATTTTATAGCCATGTTACTTGCAGTATTATTGGACTCAAGAGTCTTCTCCATTATGTACACTGTCCCTTGTGTGTGTCCAGTGTACACACCATCCTGAAGATGTTTTATGATCAAGTGCACACCTTCCTATACAATACAATACAATGCAGAGTACACACCATCCTCATGAGTGGTATAATCCAATGTATAGGCTAGTATACACACCATCCTGCCAGTGTGATATGGTCAGAGGGCACACACCACCCTTGTATGGTATAATCCTGTGCACACACCATTCTCATGTGATATAATCCAGTGTAATCCACACACTGTCCTGTGACCATGGTATATATAATCCAGTACATACACCAGTCTGCCTGTGGTATAATACACACACCCATCCTGTGGTCATGGTATAATCCAGTGCTCACACCATCTGGTGACCTTGGTATAATCCAGTGCTCACACCGTCCTGTGGCCATGCTATAATTCGGTGCACACACATCTGGTGACCTTGGTATAATCCAGTGCTCACACCGTCCTGTGGCCATGCTATAATTCAGTGCACACACATCTGGTGACCTTGGCATAATCCAGTGCTCACACCGTCCTGTGGCCATGCTATAATTCAGGGCACACACATCTGGTGACCTTGGCATAATCCAGTGCACACACCGTCTGGTGACCTTGGTATAATCCAGTGCTCACACCGTCCTGTGGCCATGCTATAATTCAGTGCACACACATCTGGTGACCTTGGTATAATCCAGTGTACGCAGCGTCCGGTGACCTTGGTATAATCCAGTGCACGTACCGTCCGGTGACCTTGGTATAATCCAGTGCACGCAAGGTCTGGTGACCTTGGTAGCCTGCAGAATCTCTGTCAGTGCTGCACCATCTGCCTTACGATTGGTGGACACCGACACACTGGGAACACCCACCCTGATATCTATGCCATCTGTAAACCCACCTAAGTACCACCCACTCTCATCCATAAGTGTACAGCACAATCACTACCCCTGCAAGCCTGACTTCAACATTAAGCTGCCATACCGTGACCTAGTATATTGGCACCTTTCCAGTAATTGCACTGGCCAAATTGAAGAGGAAAAAAACCTCACAATGTTGAAGCCTCACAATAGTGCACCAGAGGTTGTTTCTAAATATTTGCCAGATGCTCTTCTTTAAAACAGATCCGGCCTGGACAGGAGACAGAAGCAAAAATAATATTTTCCTCCAACTGTGCAACAGCGGTTCCAAGATTCCCTGGCATTGACCCCCCAAAGCCCCATGTCCTGAGTACACTGGGACATTCTGCTTCCAAGTGGGCAGCTGTTTGCGCCTGTGGCCCGGGAGGTTTCCGCAGGGAGTTGTGCGTCTGGAAGAGTCACGAAGGAGTCACTTCCACCCCTCCCGTATATTATACACTTGGATATTCTCAACCGTTAGGAAAAGCAGACACTGCTTGACAAATCTTTGGCCTCATCACATCATTTATGTCTCAGACATGGATAGAATGTTGTTACTATTGGCAATTCAACTTTGTATTATTATATACGTACAATAAAGAACCCGAGTGTTTCACTGCTGTGTGTTTGGTTGCACATGTTGATAGTTGGAGGTGTCTGTTAAAGGGTCATCTACCCGTGGACTGTGGGTATCAGACGTCATAGAAGCATGGGACTGGGGAGTAAAAAGGGTCCTCATTCCCCATCTCAATGAACGTTACCTTTTGCCATTTTAAAGTTTTACAATATAAATGTCCTAAGGGCAAAGTTCCAGCGATGACATATCCTAGCCAGAAGAGCTGCATCTGTGCACCATTCTGATCCTGGTTACTATGGGGTGTCTTTATAAAATGCTCGGAGTAAACATCTGACTTTTACATTCTAGCGCATGACCACTTGCTGGAGCCAAGGAGTATAGGCAAGTCCTATGCGCCTTGGCTTCATAATGTGGTGCAAATGTAAAAGTCAGATGTTCACAGAGCAAACATTTGATAAATACACCCCTAAGTGTGTAACTCTTGGGAGAAACCCCTGCCCCATGTCCAC